CTCCTGTGCTAGCTGAACAAAACTGATCTTTCATTCCTTTTTCTGGGTAATAATGAAGCAAGTATTGGGTATGCAGACTGTATTACTCTACATGGCTTATTCTGGTATAATTATGCAAGATTATACCAGTTTATCATGACAACTACTATCAAATCAAACACTTCTGAAGCAGTTGTGTTCGTTTGTCTCATTGTTTTAATTGTAGTACCTTGTGACCTTCTTGAGACCCGTTGTACACTTCCTGCCCAGCAGTTGTCATTGAATTGTTGGCACAGTAAGTAGAGGCTATTAATCTGAGAGTTCAGCCAGGGACACCGCTTCCTCTACGTCCTCACCAGACATTTTGGGTTCCCCAGCAATGACCATTTGTTGGGATTTATCTGACCTTTATCTGCCTTATATCACTGTGCCAGATAAACTACACTAAAGTCAGGAAAACATTTTTTCCATCTTTACATAATGATTTCTTTTAAGCACGCAGAGTGGCCAGGCAGTAAATATGTGCCACATTTCAGTGGAAGGATGAGCTAATACAGAAGTGTTGACATTTATTCCTTGGCCTGTGAATGAATGCTGTCCTGTACAGCGACAAAACCTCAAGTATGCACCTTTTTATACCAGAGAATTGAGAACACAAAATTCTTTCTTTTTTAAATACCTTTATTAATGGGCACTCGCTTCCATATCCCATGATGCATTGTGTCAGTAGGGGAGAGCAAAAACACTAACAAATAAAAAGGCTACTTTATTTTCTATGGTTCACTGGCATAAACAGGTACTCACCTGCAGTTTTGCTGCTAAACAAACCAGGCAGCATTCTCTTACACATCAGGGAATAAATGGCAGCATAGGTCTGTGTTCACATGTTCATGATGTTGTGGTGCAGTCTGAGGTTCAGCACAGTTATACCTTTCAACCCACAGAAACAATTTTCCTCCACATACTTTATTGAATTGCTTTACTTAAACCTGTTCTCATCTGTCACTAATGCAGAAAAAGATTACCTTGAATTTAATAAAGCAACAACAGATAACTGGCTTTTCTGTAAATGTACACATTTGTTACATAAAGCACAGAGTGGAGAATGACACAGACACTCTGCTGTCCTTGTCTTGTCTCGGTTTGTCAGCCATCTACCTGCAAATCTATGATAGCTGAACTGTTAAATATCTGGACCCTGAATAATGAAGATGACATTTACTAGCTTCACTGAAGCCACCGCTCCTGTCTGATTTGACAAGCTTCGAGGCTTTACAGCCCCACTGAGAGGATCAACAAGGGGGGCGGGAGTATTCAACAGGCCAAAACCTTTCTCACTAAACATATGTCCAGTGCAGGTAATAACAAAATTAAGACCAGACATTGACATTAACTCAATCACTCCAATCAGTTAAAAAGGTTACGTGCATTACAATGGAATGACACAGGAAGAAAATACTGGATAAGCAGTAAGTACTGAACCAGGTGATTCCACTAGTTTGTTTTTTTTACTGGTGCTAATTGGCTTCAGCTGGGTTATTGCATGTGTGTAATATTATGCATATAGTATTATGCAGTACACATTTAACCCTATGTGTTTAGTGAAGGGATCTGAAGATATTCACCTGATGAGGTCAATAAAGTCACTAATAGACACTGCTCGTGCTTTTCACACGTATCCCATGGTTATTTGTGAGATTCATAAAAGGCCCTGATCTGTTGTAGTCAGAAACAGCTTACCAGCAGCACCAAAGGCATTGATCCATCATTAATCCCCCTCAGGGAGGGCAGGATTGGGCATACATGCTAACATATCATTGTGTGGATATACCACCACAAGGGGGCACATAATTATTGGTAAAGTGAATGAATAAACTGTGTTTCAACTTCTTTCCAAATTCTTTAGCACATTTTCCTCATTATTCGTGCATGTCCTCAACTTTTCCTGTCATTTGCCAGTCAACTGAGAGTCACCTCTCTGCATTTCTCACCTTGCCACCAGCTTCTTGTCTGGATATGCTGATTGCTTGCCTGATGCAATTCCCAAACAAAGATCAAGTAAACAGCCTGTTTACTTTACCTGCTTGGCCTCTGTCCTGTTCTATCTGTTGGATGTGCCCAGGAGACATCCTGATCAGATGCCTGAACCACCTCAACTGGCTCCTTCTGATGCAAAGGAGCAACAACTCTACTTCCAGTTCCCTCTGCATGTCTAAACTCTACACCCTCCACCCTGTCTCTAAGGCTGAATCCAACCACCCTACAGAGGAAAGTCATTTTAGCTGACTGTATTCAGGACCTCATTCTTTCGGTCACCAAAACTTGTGACCATATGCAAGAGTTGGAACATAGACCGAATATGTAGATTAAATTGAGAGCTTTCCTTTGGTCAAGTACAACGTCTGCATTAGGTTGGTACGTACAGATAGCCAGGTTAGCCGTTTCCCACATCTGTCAGTCTTTATGCTAAGGTAAGCTAGTGGAGCTCTAGCTCCAATACGCAGTCATGAGTGATGTTGATAATCTTACTTTAGCAAAGGAAGGAATAGCTTTTTAGCTATTCTGCTAATCAGCAAATTCAACTGTTGCTATGTTTAGTGTTAATGCAAACCTGAAGTTTTAGACAATAAATGGATACAATAAAAAAATCCCACATATATAGACCTGTACTTGATTATAGTCCTTGTACTTGTACTGGCATACCATTATCAATCTTTTAAATTGTACATTTGCTGGCACATCTACAAGTGTATAACATTCAGTAAGGTAAAAGTATGTCAGTTCAGGAAGACAAGCATAGACTTAAACCTAACTTTTTTTAAAATTCATTATTTTTTTTAAGCTGATTGGTTTCACATTGATAATTCACTTCAGGTGCTCATCTAAGAAAAAGTGTGTGTGTGTGTGTGTGTTTGAGAGTGAGAGAGAACACCTTTCAGGTTGTATTTGTATCTTGCACAAACCTTTTGAAAATGTTTGAGCTGTGAGCACAGGGTTTGGTAACTTCTATTACAAATGATGCATCAGAACTGGTCTCAGTGTTCCTTTCCAGACCTCAAGCTAGTCTGCAAACACCTTGGTAACTGAATTCAACTGGTTGTTGAATTTTGTTTGTGATTGCAATAGGAGCTTCATGTTTTCATCCTTTTCAGAAGCAAGGTTATGCATTTCCTGTATTTGGATTCCAGGTGTGAAGGCTGCACTGATCTCACGACCCTGTCTGGAAATGTCTCACAGCAGGTTTTGATGAAACACACTGCAAAAACACATTGTTGGTTGTGGTATTGCTTTTTTTTATATTTCATGAAATATATATATTTTAAATTCATGGCACTTTTACAGTCAAACACAGTGATGATACAAAGTAAAGGACACTCAATGAGCCATTGAAACCATTAAAAAACAAACAAAAAAATGCTGCTCCCCTCAGCTGGCTTTCTTTCTTAAGAGTGAAATCTAAAGGTACTGTATATATCAGTCTCCTGTCTGTGTTAAATACTGAGCTAGCGCCAGGATGCGGGGAGCTTAGCTTAGCCCACAGATTGATGTAGGAGCAAGTGTAAAAACTGGCTTAACAGTGTATATTTGCTCTAAATTAAGATGCTTATAACATTATTATGTTAGGGGCAAAGTACTATTTTTACAAGTTAGAATGAAGTAGAACATTGTTTTGTTAGAAATAAATAATCTCTCATTCATTTTTCATATAATTGTTTAATACTAGAGACTAAGGGCTCATCTCCTAGCAATAATTAAATAATGCTGCTACTGTATCTACATCAAATGTTTTATTAGCTGCTGAGAATGCTTTTGCTTTGAGTCTTTTTTAATCTTTACACAGAACCTAATTACCAATATAACACACACACGGTCAATTTAGAGTCACCAATCAACCTAAGTTGCATGTTTCTGGACTGGGAAGATGCCGGAGTACCCGGAGAGAACCCATGCAGGCACAGGGAGAACATGCCAACTCTACCCAGAAAGGCCCCGTGTCGGCCGGTACTCAAACCCAGAACCTTCTTACTGTGAGGCGACAGCTCTAACCACTGCCCCACTGTGCCGCCCACATTTCTCTTCATGTACAGGTAAATTAAATGAACAAGAAACAGTGAGCTCATCACTGCTTTAGAAGAGCTTGCACATGCGAAATTTCAGACAGAGGCAGGCCTCCAGCTCTGTATGGAATGTGCAGGCATTAGACTGATATCTTTGTTCACTCTAAGAAAGAAAGCAAGTACAAAGTGTGTTTCCCAAAATGTTGACCTGAGAAATACTAATTAATCAGAAGCAGAAAACAACTCAAAAGTAGTTTTTTACAACTTCATCTCTGTTTGGTTGTGTGAATTTATTTGCCTTTTTGTTTGTTTTCAGCGTGACACGAAAGCAAATTGATCATCGAAGACAAAAAAAACTTGAATAGCAACCAAACGTTGGCTCCAGAGGGCATAAACATAATAAAAATCATCATCATACACATACTAGATGGAGGAGCTGTGGTAAGGGTTCCCTGCTACAGAGCTGCCTAGCACATAATACTGTTAGACAATGAGAGGCGTTGTGCTGTGTAGGCAGGCAGACAAACACACAGACGCAAGACAATGCTGTCGTACATTCGGGAGTAAAAACACTTCATAATTGTCATCATGCAATAAAGAAAAACACATATTTGTTCCAAAAACACGGCACATAGGTTATCATATTTTCTCAATCTATTGTCAGATACATATAAAATATAAAGACATTTCTTAACAAATATAATGTTATTGCATTTTTAATATTACTTCATATAAGACAATATATGCAAGGCATAATGTGGAAAATCGTCTCTACCCAAAGTGGATTGTGGGTAGTGCTTAGCTGATTTTCCTTCTGCTATTAAATGGCTTCTAGTTCATTTGTACACAGTGAAAGCATCTCTTTTCAATGCTTTTCAGAGCTACTGGCCTTGTACAAAGAGTGATGAACTGGGCTGTTCTGCTGCTTCATAACAGGACACTCATCTGCCTCTTTTCTTTTTCTTTTTTTTTTTTTTACAAGTGGTGTTCATAAGATATTCCAATACTTAAGGTTTAACCATAACCCTCCAGCTGAGTTTTTCTCCAGCTTTGTTCTTCAGGGTTTTTTTTTTTCTTTAAAACAACTTACACAGTTATAAAAATTGAGATTTTAATCCATTGCAGTCAAAACTTTAATATTTGTTTTCAGGTTAAATTATCATATGGCTGTGCAGCTATAAACAGAAACAAATCTTTTCTTGCATTCAAGAACTGGCTGAAATGTATATGTTGATGAGTGGATTAACATGCATCTCTAACTCTTTAATTGTTCAATTTAATTATCAATCTCAGGCTTTTAATGTTGTAAATTCAATAGCCTACCTTTGGGTTTTGGGCAAAACAAAACATTTGGAGACCTCACAAAGGGTCTGCAACAAGCAAACCAATACCTAGTTAAGAGCCCTGCGCACAGGGTGCATGTCTGATTCGCGAGTGGAGTAATATTCTTCTCTCAGATTGTTTAATTCAATCAGCTCAGATTTCACAATAAAAGAGCAAAGAATACTGTAAATAAACAGTAAAAATAAGAGCATGAAGTAATTCAGATAGGAACAGAAAAAACACATTGTTTGCGGGGTGCTGATCCCCAGGGTGGAATCCACTGGGCTAGGAAATTGCCTTTTTTCAAAATTTACTGACTAAATGATTGTTTATTGGGGGGGAAAAAAACCATCAATCACTTGCAGGCATGCAGTAGAGTAAAGTGCATATGACTTGTCCTTAATGGACTATAATACAGAATAACACTTTTACAGTTTATAAACTGCTCCTTTGTCATAAATCCTTAAGGTGTTATCCTTTACACTGCTTGCAGTGTGAATGTCACAACATCACAACACCACATCAGCTAAAGTGTTGCCAGGTTTGTTCTGGAGAAAAGCTTCATGTCATCAGGTTTATCCTCAGATTGTCTTAGATCCTAAATCACCACATCAACTTTGACCTACTTCAGTACACAGAACCTGGGCTCCCTTAATACTGGAACTTTCTGATTGGTTTCTGAGCTGCTCAGATTTTGGACACTTAGTTTGGTCAGTAGTTACAACTGACTTTGGAGGCTGGATTAGTTTCGACTTGAGTTGGCTTGGTCTGTGAGTACGGCAATAACACTGCTGAGGTTAGGGATTCAAACACTAGGTCCATATACACCGCACATGTCTATACAGTACATCATGCACTGTGACACAGATTATGCAGAGGCTTCACAAATGTCACTTAAATGCTGATCAGACTTCCTCTAGTGCGTGATTACAGAGAAGTCTTGATTTTGTGACACCAGTCATTTTGTGTCAGGGCATATATGTGTGTGGGAATTTTACAAATATTTCAGACAGGGGTGTTTATTTCTGTCTTTGAAATCCAAATGGACACACACACACACACACACACACACAAACACATGCAAAGCTTGTGAGTCATGACGTTTACATTCTCATTTGACAGCTTTCACAGGAGAGCTGGGACTGCTGGGTAAACACTGCTGGTATGAAGTCAAACATTGCTTAAAGGTCATACACATTCACACACACACACACACACACACACATCACTGGAGGGAAACCCAGTGAATAATTCATCCACTTAATAATACTGTTCATACAAAAGCTTTCCATAATAATAGCTTTTCCACCGCCTTGATTGTCTGACACGCAGGTGAGTCAGTAAAAATGATTGTCAACAGACCAATGAGCTCACAGCCTCTTCCCGCTCCACGGCTGCCCAAACACACTCACCTTATGACACTCCTGTCCTCCCACGAGGGGGCATGGGGGGAGGCTACAAGGAGACAACAAGCACTTAGAGCTGGTGGAAGCCAGAGACTGCAGCAATAAGAAGGCCGAGGAGGAAGCACAAGTGGGGGCGTAGAGGTGAAGGCGGAGCACCCCCAGAGGATCGGATAGAAGATGTCGTGATCTCAGAGGTGAGGAAGGCGGACAGGGGGACCTGGGAGACCAGAGTGGGGCTGGCGTAGTTGATGAGAGAATCGATCTTCTCAGCCTCCTTACTGCAGGCTTCCACCTAGAAAACAGAAGAACAACACTCTGGTTTCCACACGCTTCTCTCTTTGAGTCAGCAAAGAAGCTCAGTCACACACCGTCTCTTTACTGGTTCTATTATAAACTGGATATCAGCCACCTCTTACGTACAGTATTGTTCAAAATAATAGCAGTACAATGTGACTAACCAGAATAATCCAGGTTTTTAGTATATTTTTTATTGCTACATGGCAAACAAGTTACCAGTAGGTGCAGTAGATTCTCAGAAAGCAAACAAGACCCAGCATTCATGATATGCACGCTCTTAAGGCTGTGAAATTGGGCAATTAGTTGAAAGGGGTGTGTTCAAAAAAATAGCAGTGTCTGCCGTTGACTGTACAAACACAAAACTATGTTGTACAAACGTTTTTGTTTCTAGGATTTAGCAATCCTGTGAATCACTAAACTAATATTTAGTTGTATGACCACAGTTTGTTATAACTGCTTCACATCTGTGTGGCATGGAGTCAACCAACTTGTGGCACCTTTCAGCTGTTATTACACTCCATGATTCTTTAACAACATTCCACAATTCATTTACATTTCTTGGTTTTGCTTCAGAAACAGCATTTTTGATATCACCCCACAAGTCCTCGATTGGATTAAGGTCCGGGGATTGGGCTGGCCACTCCATAACATTAATTTTGTTGGTTTGGAACCAAGACTTTGCTCGTTTACTAGTGTGTTTGGGGTCATTGTCTTGTTGAAACAACCATTTCAAGGGCATGTCCTCTTCAGCATAAGGCAACATGACCTCTTCAAGTATTTTGACATATGCAAACTGATCCATGATCCCTGGTATGCGATAAATAGGCCCAACACCATAGTAGGAGAAACATGCCCATATCATGATGCTTGCACCACCATGCTTCACTGTCTTCACTGTGGCTTGAATTCAGAGTTTGGGGGTCATCTCACAAACTGTCTGTGGCCCTTGGACCCAAAAAGAACAATTTTACTCTCATCAGTCCACAAAATGTTCCTCCATTTCTCTTTAGGCCAGTTGATGTGTTCTTTGGCAAATTGTAACCTCTTCTGCACGTACCTTTTTTTTATCAGAGGGATTTTGCGGGGGATTCTTGAAAATAGATTAGCTTCACACAGACGTCTTCTAACTGTCACAGTACTTACAGGTAACTCCAGACTGTCTTTGATCATCCTGGAGCTGATCATTGGCTGGGCCTTTGCCATTCTGGTTATTCTTCGATCCATTTTGATGGTTGTCTTCCGTTTTCTTCCACGTCTCTCTGGTTTTGCTCTCCATTTTAAGGCATTGGAGATCATTTTAGCTGAACAGCCTATAATTTTTTGCACCTCTTTATAGGTTTTCCCCTCTCCAATCAACTTTTTAATCAAAGTACGCTGTTCTTCTGAACAATGTCTTGAACGACCCATTTTCCTCAGGCTTTCAAATGCATGTTCAACAAGTGCTGGCTTCATCCTTAAATAGGGGCCACCTGATTCACACCTGTTATTTCACAAAATTGGCTGTAGACGTTTATCAGTACTATTTGGTGCTATCCAGAAGTTTGACCCAATCTCAGCTCACACTGCTACAAACATCGGGATTCTGAATAAAATGTTTTACAGAATGCCCATGTTAGACCATACTTGAATGCCAGTTCCTGTATTTTCAAGATAATTCATTAAAACCTGCTCTTTTTTTTCAAGAAAAACATCTGTGGCAATTCAGAACTGCAGTGTGTATTTTCCAGATAGACTACTAAGAGGAACTGTTCTACAAAACTCAATTCCATTTAATCTAAGGCAGAAGTTCTCCCCAGGTACACTGGGACTAAACTCACAGCTAGATTTGACACAGCTCCCAGAGAACTGACAGGAATGGAGTGATAAAGGCCTACAGTCTCTCATGGCCATTTTAAGAGAGACCATTATAAGAATGAAATACTAAATAGAATAAGAGCTTGAAAACTTTGAAGCTATTGCCAAGCAAAGTGTGAGAACAAATGATTAAAGAGTCACTGTAGAAATTCTAAAGGCCACTTTTATTAAGGAAATGGCACAAGTTTGCTGCATGCACTTTTAGCATGCCTGTGACTTTGCTGTCAAGTTGCTCTGTCACTTTATGTGTTCAGATTCATACATCAAACAGATCTGATAGAGGACTTTACTAATTCTAGTGTTACAGTAGCAAGACTGAAAAGGTTTTACAGAACAGGTTTAATGTCAAGTAGAGTAATTAAAAAAACATTTCAATTATATAAATACAAAAACCAAATAAACAGAAGCTAATGTTAAACAGAGCCTAAAGGCTAATATACACATTATAAATAGAATAGGCAATCGACAATGTTACTGTGCATTAGTGGAAGTCTGGTGTAAAGTAATTGAACAGTAAGATGCAGTGAGGCTTGGATATTAACAGACTGAAAGGCTGATATTGTTTGTCACAGGAGGAGATCACTCTCCTGACACAGAGGAGAGTCACTGAACAGTGTGACTGCAGTCGGCAGGAACGACTTCCTGTAGTATTCTCTGACAAAGACTAAAAGTGCTCTGCAGTTTGACCAACAGGTCATGGAGGAGTCGTGTACTGCAGGATCCAACAGTTGGTGCAGCCTCCTCATCTCCACAACCAGCTCCAAAGACATCCCCAGCCTTCCTGATCACTTTGTTCCATTTGATTTCAAATTGAGATACATGTGGCAAATCAATGGAATGTGATTCTGTGCTTCAGTCAAAATGAAAACTTTACCACAAATTAACTACCTGTTTTCAATGTTTCCCACAACACCCACGGATAAATAGTTCAAATCAATTGATTCCCTAACTTCACAATTTTACTGGAATAACAAGAAACCCAAAACTTCGCTGTCAACACTCCAGAAGAACAAATCACAAGGTGGCCTAGAAGCACCAAATTTTCAGCATTATTTCTTAGCAAATCAATTACAATATTCAGTTAAATGGATTCAGAAGGATAGTTATAATAGCTCAAAGAACTAGAACAAAAATACATCAGTTGCAGACCTTGCTGTATTACCATACTCAATTAAGAAAATTAACTATTGCAAAAATATCACAATCTCTGCAACTCTGACAGCCTGGTGGAAGCACACAAAACCACTAAATTACCACTAACACCATGTAGATACACTCCAATTTGGCACAACCCTGACTTTCAACTGCATAACAACCCCATCCACTTTCCAACATGGCAACACAAAGGAACACTCACCTTCATCATCTATTTGAAAACAACCAGCTCATACCATTCGATACATTAGTCCAGAAGTACGGAGCTGGGAGAGGAGAATTTCTCCAGTACCAACAGTTAAAATCCATCATTAAATCAAAGATCAATATAATCAACAACCCACTACAACCTTCCATGCTAACTGAGGAGATAATGAAATTCATAGACTCAAGGAAGATAATATCTAAACTTAATAAACTAATGTCAAATACAGATAGAACAATAACAATACCAATGACTAAATGGGAAAAGGATTCGTCGCTCACCCCCCAGCCCCAACTTCTGGACCGAGATCTGTAATAATATCTTTTCCATGACTACCAATATAAACTTACAGCTTATACAATATAAGACTATTTACAGGACTCACATCACACAAGGTAAAATGTTTAAAATGATTCATTGATACAGATGCCTGCTCACAATGTACTCTGGGTTGCACCAATGATTACTTCCATGCTACTTGGACCTGTCTGCCTGTTTACTCCCTCTGAGTAGCGGTGACTGAGAATCCCTCCATCTCCATCACTCTGCCTGCTCAGTAATGTCACAGAAGTCAACCATGAATATGCGTATACACATACTATATATGGGTACACAAAAATATGCGTATGCAAAAGTATATATAGTATTTATATGACTGAAATTGCTATATTATTATGATTTTCTTTCATTGTTATTTTATTATTACAATCATCCATTTTCTGTCAAACTGTCTTATTTACCCATTCATCTTTCTCCACCATTAACAAACCAAGAGTTGTATTACGGGATGCTCCGCCCTGTCCCCAGCAGCTGGGGCATGCAATCTGGGGTCACTCTTGGGGTTTCTCTGGGGGGCACATTATGGGGGAGGAAGGCCAGGTCACTGTTTCCTTTCCCTTAACTGCATATAGCATCACTGGACTGCTGACACCCTCTTAGACAAGCTCCCTCCTCAGGGTTTGGGAGCTGTTTAGGAAGGGAACACACCACACATTGGGGTCAGGTCTCTCCCCTCAAGGTCAGGGGCCGACCCCGAGCTGTTTCAGTCCCAACAATCAACTATTGACATAAACTGTGACGAACAGTCAAACAAAGGGAAGGTTTAACTTAACCATGACACAAGACTGGACGACCTCAACCTGTTGAGCTGCTTTGGAGCTCCCCAAGCAGCGGCCTCACCTCGTGCTGGTGGTTCAAGGCAGAGGGATCACCAGTACACTCCTGTTCCTTTATTGATTCAACCCCCCCCCCAAATTTCTTAATTTATTTGGTTTAATTTTATTTTTCTCTAATAAATACTGAATATCAATCTGCATAGAGTTGGATACACCCACACTACACACAACTTAATTTAATAACACCTTTGTTTCTTTTAATGTCTGTTGGCTCATGTGCTATGTTATATCCTTTGTACTGTAAATGTATTATTTCATGTGGTAATAAAATATATATACACACGCGCACACACACACACACACGTGGCAAATCAATGGAATATAATTCTGTGCTTCATGATTCAGTTTGTTTTCCATAATATGACTTAATATCTCAAAGACATGAAAGAAGCTGCTGCCTAGTAACTAAGACATACCAGAAGAAGAAGGCCTTATTCACCGTTTCCTTCATCCTTGACAGACTACACAAGTCTTCTTTAATAAGTTACAGGATAAGCCTTCTTTTGCTCATCTATGTACAGATGCAAGTGTTTGGCTTTGTGGAAGTCTGTCAGACTTGGCACCATGAATTATTAAGTATGAAAATATACGTAAATGATTTAATGTAAATATGTCACTCACACAGGTTTAGTTCATTATTGGCCTTGAACGAGTGAAGCAAGAGAAGAACAGTATGTTAAAAAGAAAGAGGTGGATGTGAATCTGACCTGACTACAAGACAAGACTGCTGGAGAGGAATAGAGATGTTTATGGCCCAGGAAAACAGACTGCATTAGACTATTTGGATATTTATTCCATTTAGGCAGTGTGCACACAGTGAGGGGCAAACCTATGTAGGCACACCAATCCGAGCCCACAGAAACAATGAAATGAACTAGAATCAGGTTCCAACATTATCTTCCCATATGCTATGCTAATTCGTCAAAACTACTTCAGCTACATTACTGTGTTGATGAAGGCCATGTAGCTGAAAACATCTGGAGGAATAAGCAGAGCATATGGTAGGAACATTGCTTTCACATCCATCAAACTCCTGTTACTCAGATAATGTATTCAGACTATTCAGACTCCACATGTAAACTGGAGTGCAAAGCCCAGCAAAGACATACATCACAAATGCTCCTTTAACCTCCAAGCCTGGAAGTGTTTGATTGGCAGCTGGGCCAGCAGGGGCCGTCACCAACGTCAACATAACATTTTCTACTTTTTTTCTCTAAAAACAGTTGATGAAGTCACAGTATTTTTTCACAGGGACAGAAAGACCTTGAGCTAAACAGAAAACAGAAAAAAGGCCCTGCTGTAGTGCAATGTATTCACAATTGCATGCGAGATGACACAGCCAATTCTCTGTGATATGACGATGTTCCACAAGAACGATGTGGGAATGACGCACTCTGCTGTTGTTTTTGTTTTTTTATTCATGAATTTTTTTTATGATAATGATGCAATTATCAGATCACATAGTGAAGTTTGCAGAAATATAAAGAGGCTGCATAATGTTCCATATATGTTACAGTAATACTGCAGTCGACCATAGCTGTGGTCAGTCATGAATATGTCTGTGATGTTTTTCAGAACATCTAATATTTTTGCTGAACCATAATCACATTATCACTGATACAAATAACATCATCTTGTCCCTGACAGACCATGTTTGATTTGCACCATGATGTTGAGGTCCTGTTGATTTTGAGGTCAAACTAAATTGTGTTTTCAATATTCACTGTATAGTGTTTGTGGTAATGAAGGAAACACTGATGCGTTTAACTTTAATAGTGCTTGGACAACATGTAGCTCTGGCACAGCGGATTAAGATACATCAGGCTTGTTGGTAGGATACACTGTTGGTTTGGGTCTTTTCATCAGATTTGTTGACAATAAAGATGTAATGATACCAAAACTCACAATATGATATTGCCACAATAAAAAGCCCACAATATGATATTTATCACAGTATTAAAAACATTAAGAAAAAATAGGAAAAAAGCCCGTTACCAACTAATGCATCAGCATTTTATGTACAAGGTATATACAGATGTATATACAAGATAATGCAAATAAAATAAAACAACATATGATTGCAGCAGCTGGACCTTGTAAATAAAACGCATCACACTCACAGTGGAACTTAAACTTTTTATTACCTCTTAGGCAGGTTTAATTTACTCTGGCGGTCGTGCTGACCAACCACGACATTTCTTGAAACTGCTAAACTGAAATGCTGCCATACAACAGCTCTGGAAAGTGACGACGAAGCATCAGCTGTGTCAGTGACCTTAACGCAGTTATACTAGCAAAATAACCATATGTAATATCCTGGTAGATAGCATCACAGTTCCACGATGGTATAGAGACATTTTTCTATCGCAATATCGCTAAATTACAAATATTGCTACACCCCTGACAAGAAGACAAATATGGAATGTCATCAGCCTTATCCTTTAATCTGATGCCATTGTTGTGAGGACACTTTAACTGTCCACAAAACTTCAGTGGGCTTTTCGAAGGTTCAGAATGGGTTTTGGGGTTTAAATGGACTGTATTTTATATAGCGCTTTCTCACACTGGCCAAAGCGCTTTTACAGAAGATCATACACCATTCACCCATTCACACACCGATGACGACAGGCTGCCATGCACCGGCGCTAGTCAAGCCACCAATTCGGCAATTCGGGGTTCAGTGTCTTGCTCAGGGACACTTAGGCATGCGGGGAGACCGGGAGTCGAACCACCAACTTGCTGGTCAGGAGACGACTGCCCTACCTCATGAGCCACAGCCACAGATGATGAAGGTGAGTGTTCCTTTGTGTTGCCATGTTGGAAAGTGAATGGGGTTGTTATGCAGTTGAAAGTCAGGTTTAGGCTAGGGTTATGGTAAGGGGCTAGAGTGCATTATGTCAGTGAGTGTCCTCACAGTATCAGAAGTACAAACATGCATGTGAATGAGCGTATGTTACCTGCAGGGCCGTTGGCTGCCGGTCCACTGGGGTAATGAGGACCACCAGCTCATGATCAATGCTCAAGAAGCCAAAGACATCACACTGCGGCACTGAGACGTGAAGCCGCAGGATGTGCAGGACGTCACGGACTGTCACCGGCTGGTTCTTATTCAGCTGCACACAGGTGAGTCCGAGGTAAAACAGACAGATCAGACCACATTAAATGTCGGCTATTGTGCTTTTAATTTGATTATAAAATGTCAATAAATCATGATATTGCAAAATGCTGCCCGTCGGGTACACTGCATCGTGGGAACAACCAATAAACACAATTTCTGAATGTAGAACAGAGCTTTAGAATAAAGATCTCTTTATTATATGAGAAAAGGTCTGTTGTAGGTTACAATACAGAATGAGAATATTGTATAATATCAAGTCCTAATCTTTTGATGTTGAACATGGTTGTAATATTAGTTTTTTATTATATATGATTTTTTTTTGTAAAATAGTATTTTTATGCTAAAAAAATTGCAACTTTATTTATTATTATGACTACAGTTGTTTGTTTTGTTAATAAAATCCTTATTTCACATTTCCTTAAAATGATCTTCATTGAATTCCATGGGAAAGTGCATCCAAACGTTTGACTGGCAGTCTGAGCACTCCTGTGTTACAACCACAGCATTCATGCTGCATTCCTTGACGATATAAACACAAAGTCCACAAGTCCTTTCACACGAAGTACTTATTCTGCTGAGGTCCAGCTGCAGCTGAGTTTTGCTGCATAAAATTAGCTCTTGTATTAAGTCAAAGATATGTAACATAACAAAAGAACTAAACATTTTGAGAGCCTGCTGCATCAAGACACACATGGTAGGCCCCAGTCTTCTATCTCTAAAAATCATGAACGAAGTCAGTAAAATGAAAGATAAATGAACTGGTGTTATAAAAGCAGCCTGTTGATAAGTAGACAGTTGAGAGTAGTCTCAGCAGGATTAGTTTTAGAAACTAGCACAGTTAAACCATATTGTATTCTCATTTTTCTGAGCAGCTGCAGATCGGTTCAGCTCTGCTTGTATTTGGCATTAACAGGATTAAGGTTGAATCTTGCTATGATGCACTTGTGCGGGGGATCACAGCCAAGCTGAGCCAAAATGGTTTTGTTGTATAATTAGGCTGAACACAATGAGATGCCAGTGGGACTTATAAGACAATAACAACGCTTAGGAATCAGAGGGCTTCGAACTTTACTGCTGCTCCATGTTACGTCAGTATGGTGGCCTCAAAATACCTGTGGAACTGAAGTAGTATGTAGCTAACAGTGTGTTGGCCTACATTCGGATTATGTGGCTTACATGTCTGAGGACCTCTATCCTTTTTGTAATTATGTTTGATAAGCTTGACTAAAAGTGCAGAGTTCATACTTCATTTCAACTAGGTCATACTACCTGTGTTGTTCTTGAAGAACATTTTCAAATTAACATCACTTGTGTGCCCTGTGTGCAAAGCTTTAGATCATTAAAAAATCTTTTGTTAAACACTGTATAAATAAATGTATTTTTGCATTGAGATGTAACCACCTCAGAAGCACTGGACACCATTCAAATCTAACAACAACATTAAGATTTGGAGATCATCATCATCATCATCATCATCATCATCATCATCATCAAGCCCAACTGTTCCTAAAGCCCCATTTGGACAGGACTGGCATTGCATTTTGAGGTGGGACATGAATTATTGGATGAAAAATGTACTGTCCTCCTTGGAAATTTAATTCATTATTCCAGATGAAAATTTAACCAGCAGGGAATCACAGAATGTGATCTGTAAGTCAGAGGTCAAAGCCAAAAGAGACAGAAGCTTCCGCAGGGGGTGTGGGATGGAAAATGGGGAAGCAAAGATACTGCGTCACTACTCTGTCAAGTCTTAACAATGAGACATGAAACACACACTGTGTGTGAATTCCTGAGGATGTCATTATCTCTGATGTTTATTGTGGAAAAACTAAATTCACTGACATTAATTATTATTGTTATTATTGTTCAATCATCATCACATTAGCTTGTACAGATAATGGACGGATGGATGTCACTGTCATAGTAATAGCCACTCTCATTTATATGATACAGTGTGATAAGCCTTTATTTCAAGTGTGAGATCCTCTTGAATGTTAAGCTAGTACTGCATTTTGGGAATTTAATTCATTGTTCCCATTGTATGACATTTACAGTAGCACTTGGACTAATCACTTGAATATGTTTGGCTCAGTGTACTTTTATAAAAAGTAGACTAATTAGCATTCTCTGAAGCAAATGTATGAGCTCTGGGAGCTGCTGCTGCTGTCACCGGCACCACTGCTGGTTCATCAACTTTTTTTAATGACATTTAAGTCAGATTTTAAATCCCAGGCTCCTGTTCCCCAATGCACCACCACATCCACAACACTACAGTTACCACACAGTGTCTGAGACACACTACAGTTGTTTAAGGGAGTAACAAGATGTATGTATGTTTTCAATAGGAAACATGGGCAAAAAATGAAAATGATGTAGAAAATTTTCAGCCATGAAACAACTAAAATTGTTTCACAGTAGTGTAGGTCAGTAATGTCCTCTGTTCAGTAAAGGTTGTTACTGAAATAAATTAGCAGTGCTGTGTTATTTTGAGCAGGACATTTGTGAGCCTTTGCAGTACTGAGTTCTTTGGATTTACAGCGCCCCCCACTGCCCAGCACCTGCTATTACATTTAATACCACCAACAGTGTCAAGATACAGAAAATGTGGTTCTCAGTTTCACCACCATCTAATTTTGCAGTATGTTGCTTTAATAGCCAAACTCTTTATAGTTTTTCCAAAATATTTAATGTTTTTCATATTAGTACTTTAGTTCTTCACCAAAAACGAATTGCAGAACACTACTGAGACTGGACTTCAGGATTATTCTTTGGTTTCTGAGTAATTAAAACCTTCCAACAACATTAAAAGTGTTAAATCCTCTTGATATTCTCTTCACAAGTAGAAAATGACAGAAGTCCATACCTTAGAGAAAGTGTTCATCTGCTCTTTGTTCCACAGGATCTGCAGCATGCTGGCACAGATTGGACAGCACGCTCCTGGAAAGAGGTCGGATGTCAGGGCTTATGACAGCACAGTTTTCAGAAACTAATACTGTGTACACGTCACATTTATAGTACAGCTGTAACCGATCTGAGGACAGTTCATCCAGTTTACCTGTAACCTTCCTATTGGAGGTGTTAGTGCACTCACCAGGTGGTGTGACAGGGTGGCAGTCCGGAGTGGACAGAGGCGGACAGGGAATCAAACTGCATGCAGATTCGGAGGGCACGTCAGACACGGCCCCCACAGCATGGCAGGGGCCCTCGTAGTCCACAGCCACGCGGTCAGAGAAGGCCTCACACACTGTGTTGTAGGTCTCCCCGTTATGGCCACAAACTGGCTGTGGCTTCCTACAGGCATCCTGTGAGCAGGACCCACCAAGCAAATGTAAAAGTCTAAATATATATGTATATATAAACAGTATATAAGCAGCACATTAAAGGTTTGTATATATACCATATGTGTCTCTGCTATGTATGTACTGCATATGTTTTTCTAGCTTCACATTAAATCTTTTATTTACCTTGATTGTAACAAGCTATGTTTTTTGATATACTGAAAGCAAAATGAGAATTCAAAAGCCTTGCTAGCAGCTCCTACAGGGGACACTGAAAAACAAAAATCATATCCTTTTGCTATTGTTAGAGTCATATAATAATAGCTGTGGCCCAATTCAGGGAACACATCCTTTGAAGGCTGCATTTAAAGACAGATTGTGTCACAAGGCCGGCCCATTTCGAAGGCCAATTCTTATGTGGCCAAGAATTACGTCCTTCTTTCGCTGAACAACGAAGGGTCCAACTGATGGATCCTTCGCGACCTTTTGTATGCGTGCAGAGAGCAGAGCAGCTGTCAAAGTTGCTAAGCAACAAGAACAGCGCTTCATAACGCAACAGTAAAGGCAGGAACAGTTGGTAACGTAAATAGAAAATGCATTCTCGTTTCCCTTAATGGCATTTTTCTTTGCATCTTCGTCCTGCACTGTAAGATACAAGGAATGTGAGGAGTGACGAATCGAAGAAACATTTATAAGGCTTTCTTTCCTCTCATCCTTCATTTGAGGTGTCCAGTCACCAACTGATTTCCAGTAAAGTGGTGTCCTTGATCCTTGCTTGACCCTGAAGTTCCATCCATCCATCCATTTTCCTCCGCTTATCCGGGACCAGGTCGCGGGGGCAGCAGTCTAAGCAAACATGCCCAGACTTCCGTCTCTCCAGACACTTCCTCCAGCTCCTCCGGGGGCCTGCCGAGGCGTTCCCAGGCCAGCCGAGAGACATAGTCCCTCCAGCGTGTCCCGGGTCTTCCCTGGGGCCTCCTCCTGGTGGGACATGCCCAGAAAC